GAGTTAAAGGCTTGCAGCTATTTACTACTATTGCAACAATTAATTTATTTTTATAGTTGTGTGGTGTTAGCATGTGTATTGATAGCATCTTTAATATCCATTCTTTTATATTATTTTTAAACCTCTTTTTAAATGACCATATGGCTTATGGTTGATCCATTGTGTTAAAGGCTTGCAGCTATTTATTACTATTGCAATACATACTTTACTTTTTACAGTTGTGTGGGGTTAAGATGTGCACTGATAGCATTTATTATATTAACTCTTTTATTTTATTTTTTTAAACCACTTTTCAAATGACCTTATGGTTTATGGTTGAGCCTTTGGGTTAAAGGTTTGCAGTTATATTCCACTACTGCAACAAATACTTAATTTTTTATGGTTGCGTGGGGTTAATATGTGAATTGATAGCATTTCTTATATTAATTATTTTACATTATTTTTATTTATTTTGCATTCACATGCATTTGCCATTATTTTCTAATTAATATGCAAATCAAGCTGTCCAGATGAAGTGTCAGTGACCGGGGTTGGGTCAAACTATAACACTGCTAGGGTTATTTGCAACAATTTATTTGAATTCATAGATGGGGATTTATTAAGATTGGAGCAGACAGAATCTGGAGCCGCTGCGCATAGCAACCAGCTTTCATTTTAAAGTGTAACTGAAGAAACTGAAGATAAAAGCTGGTTGGTTACCATGTATAGCTGCTCCAGATTATGTCTGCACCTGTTTTGGTACATTCACACCACAGAGTTAAAAAAAAGTGTTATAAAAATACCTGCTGCACCTCTCAATCAACCTCTGGTAGTGTTAAAGTTTGTCCAAATACCTGTCACTGACATGTTTAATGTACAGCTTGGAGGCAGGTGAAATATATACTGAATCTACTATTATTACATGTATTACCCCATTCAGTTATCAAAATGCAATCATTTTCACAATAAAGGTCCTTAAAAATAGTTTATGGTCAATGCACAATTTAATAATGGGGGAGAGGCTACAAATAAGATTTGCATGGATAAAGGGGAAGTTTTACATAGCAAACAAACAGTTTAAAATATAACATGCATATGTGAAAAATTGCTACAAAAGCAGCAATTCTATTAATTAGTATCTGGCGTTGCATTTTGCCCCCGCTTTATATACATTTTTCTCTCTTTTTTGTCGATGTATAATGCATTTATACACTGAGTGGCCAGATTATTATGAACACCCCATCAGTACTTCGTTGGGCCACGAGATGACTCCACGAGATGACTTTGTTGGGCCGCCTCGTGACTGCACGAGATGTTGAAAGGTGATGCGAGGAATCTGACACTGCACTGTTGCCCTTCTGTTGTCTTGTACCAGTCTTGCCACTCTCCGTTCTTCCCTAACATTGACTAGTCGCTGACGGCCACAATTCGCACGTTCAGACCCAGATTTTCGGCTGACAGTACAGTCTTTAAACACTTTAACAACAGCTGCTTATGAACATTTAACAAATTCTGCTGTTTTGCTGATACTCGCTCCATGGCTCCGAGCGCCAACAATCATCCCACGTTCAAAGGCTGTTAAATCGCTTTGTTTACCCATATCTTCAGAAAAAAAACACTTCTACTGTCGTGGTAAACAACCTGTTTCCCTATTTATAATGGTCTGGCCCTCTAGCAACTTCAGCGCGAAATTATAGCTAATTATAGCTAATTTGCCTACAAACGTCAGGTGGTCATAATAATCTGGCCACTCAGTGTATAATGTATAATGCAGTGAGTAACACTGGGACTGAGTCATGAAAACTAGAAGTCTCATGTACCTAGTGTGAAGATGCCACTTCTGTCTTATAATGATCCATGTAAAACCTTCTGCTTGTTGCCAGTAATATAAGAAACTATTTAGCACAAAAAACCACAAAGAAGAATTTTAAAAGTTTATTGTATGTCCAAGAAGACAAAAAGAAAATGTATGATGGGGTATAAAATTCAGTAGATAGACTGCACATGACTCATATGAGACAATAGGGTTAATTTACTAATAGTAATAGGGATTGTTCACAAAACAATGGGAATGTTCACCTTGCATATGGTGGATATAAAAGTCTACACGCCCCTTTAAAAATGCCATATTTTTGAGATGTAAAAATCTTTTTTTTTAACCTTTTACCCCCTTCCTGGCCAGGCCATTTTTCAGTATTCAGCGCTGCGGTACTTTGACTGACATTTATTCCGTCTAGCAACGCAGTCATGAAATGAATTTTATACCATTTTTTGGGGACAGGTAGAGCTTTCTTTTGGTGGTATTTATTCACCACTGGGGGTTTTATTTTTTTTACTATAGTAAGGAAAAATTATTGAACATTTTGAAAAAAAATATTTTTTCCCCCCATTATGTTAGGAAACAATTATTATTACCCAATTTTTTGGTAAAATATAAAAGACGGGGTCACGTCAGGTAAATAGACACCAAACATGTTAAGCTTTAAAATTGCGCGCACAGCTGCCAAAATCGCAAAAAACTACCATACCCAAAATTGACCATAAGCGATGCTTTAAAAGCTTTTACAGCTCTTTAGTTTAGTGTTATTGGTGATTAATGCCCCTAGAATTATTGCTCTCACTGCGACGTTCACCGCGATATGTAACATGTGCGAAGTAATGGGCGCAATCGCTGTTTTTGCACGTATACGCACCTGACGCATGTGTGTATGTATGCGTGGGGACTTTTAAAAAAATTGTGTTTTTTAAAATTCTTTTTTATGTGTAACTTTTTTTTTGCAACTTTAATCTTTTTTTCCTATTCTTTTTTTTACCTAACTTTATTGCTTATTACTTTATGGCTAAGAAACCCCCCTATGTGATAGGAAAGAGATGTGACAGGTCCTCTTTATGGAGACATCAGGGGTCTCCAAGACCCCTAATGTCGCCTAGGACCCCCCAAAGAAGCTCTGCTTCATCAGCTTCTCTCCAGCGTCTGAAGCTGGAGAGTGACACAAGAATGCAGAAGTGATGTACTATACATCACTTCCGCATTCTGACAGTGCAGAGGGTACCGGAGGGAGATCGTGTACCGATCTCCCTCTGATCCCCTGTGACAGTGCCACTATGCTGGTCCCGGGCTCGCACTGGGCACAGCGGAGCCCGGGACCAGCTTGACAGCAGGAGGAGTGCCACGAACCAGCAGCTTATACAAGCTAATAGAGCAGGCGGATTGCTTGTATGTCAACAGGCATCACTGCTTGTTTTTAAATCTAGGCAGGTTCCCGCTCGCGCAGCGCGGTGCGCGCAGGTGGGCGGTCCTGGCGGGACGTTTAAATACGCCCGCTCAGATCTAGGGAACTCCCGGCCAGCTGTATTCTTACAAAGGCCGGCCGGAGGTCGGTTAATATAACCTATAATCTGTATATTTCAATTTAAAACTATGGAATTTTCAAATAAATTTACAATAACATGGTTGCATAAATATACACAACCTTAAACTAATAATTTTTTGAAGCACTTAATGAGTTTATCTGCATAGCACATGTTTCCCTGGGAATATTTGCCCACTCTTCCTTGCAAAAGTGCTCCAAATCTGTCACCCCACAGATTTTCAAATGGATTCAGGTCTGGGCTCTAGCTGGGCCATTCCAAAACTTTGATCTTCCTTTGATTAAGCCATTGTTTTGTTGATTTGTAGGTATGCTTTGGGTCAATGTCGGGCTGATAGGTGAAATTCCTCTTCATCTTTTTAACAGAGGCCTAAAGGTTTTGCATTGTGAAAATTGACTGGTATTTGGAAATGTTCATAAGTCCAAGGTGGAGACCTTGACTAAAGCCCTAGTTTCAGCTGAAGAAAAAAAGCCCAAAAGCAAAATGCTGCCACCACCATGTTTCACTGTGGGTATGATGTTCTTTTGATGTTGCACAGTGTTCAAAAAATGTAATCTTGGTTTCATCAGACCATAACACATTTTCCCTCATGCTTTTGTCAGACTTGATCTAGGGTTTTTGCCAAATGTAGTCATGCTTGGATGTTTTTCTTAGAAAGAAAAGGCTTCCATCTTTCCACCCCACAGCCCAGACATATGAACAATACGAGAGATTGTTGTCACATGTAGTAGACAACCAGAACCTTGCCACAAATTCCTGCAGCTCCTTTAATGTTGCTCTATGCCTCTTAGCAGCCTCCCAGACCAGTTTTCTTCTTGTTTTCATCAATTATGGAGGAATGTCCAGTTCTTGGTAATGTCAATATTGTGTCATATTTTCTCCACTTGTTGATGACCTACTTCAACCATGTTATATTTAATGCCTTGGAATTTTTTTTAACTCTTCTCCTGACTGATACCTTCCAACATTGAGATCCATTTGATGCTTTGTAGGCTCTATTCCGCACCATGGCTTTTGCTGTATGAGGCAACTGAGTAAATGTCATAAAAATCAGCTGAGCTTTATATGGGCTTATTCATATTCACTTTAATTGATGGCAAACATGTACTGACTACTATTAACCATTTGTTTGAGTCAATTGTTTTTTTTACACATGGTCCACTTTTGCAGTTTTGGAACTGACACATGATCAACTTAAGTCTCTCATGGCCATGTTCCAATACTCTAAATCCTTGGTTCTCAACTGGTGGGTCGTGACCCAAAAGTGGGTCCTGACCCCGTCTTCAGTGGGTCGCCACGTGACTTCCACTTTTCCTGCATATGGTTTCTCTTGTAACTGATT